TGTACCTAAAAACCTATAACTTACCATTCAAAAATTTTTTTACGATACATTGCCGGGTTTGTTTTGAGCGTTTGATCTGACGTTATGTGTTAAGAGGCGATGTATAACGGACAAGCGCCACTGTCGCGCATCGCTTCGACTTCGTTGTACACGCAACTTCTCATTCGTCTGTCAAATTTTGCTACTAGTGTTGTTCGTTCTACTACTTTAATCAATAATCGATTCTTATCGATATCGGACAGACGAATGATACTAATTATTATTAAAAAATAACTCTCATATATAAATAAATATTCTAATTAATGTGTATTTGTAGTATTTATATGTCTTTTTTTTCCTAGTTTCCCACAAGATGCAATATTAAAAGAAAAATGTATCGCGGCTACGGGACGGAAAGACTGGTTTCCGACTAAACATAGTACCATTTGTTCAATTCATTTTGAAAGTACCTGTTTTATTGACCCTTCAAAAAAGAAGAGATTGTTAAAAAAAACGGCATTCCCTACTATACGTATATTAAAACGGATTGACAATGATGATGAGGTTAGTGAATAGGTTTAATGAGTAACAATATTTTTATTAATAACGTATAAAATACTAGCTGTTACTCGCGACTTCGTCCGCGTGGAATTTTCGCAATCAAAAGTAGCCTATGTCCTTTCTCAAGGTCTAGACCATCTGTATACCAAATTTCATACAAATCCCTTCAGTAGTTTTGGCGTAAAAGAGTAACAGACAGTTGCTTTCGCATTTATAATATTATTATATATTATACAGGGTGTTAGGTAAATGGGTATATGTACGAGTCATCGTATCATATTTCGACAAATTACTGTTATGCAAAAACTTATAATAAAATTAGTACTGACAAGCTACTCGGCGGAAACGGTCGTTTCATTAAATACTGCCCTTTCCCCTATATCACGACAATATTTCGACAATAACACGACATTATCACCTATCAGTATCAATTTAATGTAGTTCACGCTACATTAATGGTCCTTCGAGCCGGATGAGCCGACACTAGCCCATGTTAACATGGTTATATAAATGGTATAATGAATTTATTTAAATGGTATAACTATTTAAACATTCCGTTTAATATCATTCGTCTGTATATCTCATTCGTCTGTGTATCTCATTCGTCTGTCAGATAATCGATGCCATTTCTGTGATAGCGGTGCGTTGGGGCAACGGCGGCATCGGCATCTTTGAATCGATTACGATTTCCCGTCACTAAATGTTGGCTGTGACGTCACAGTAGTTATTAAAAAGTCGGCACGCTTGGTTTTAATACAGATCGTGTTACTTGCGTTATCTATGTATATCTATATCTGTGGCTTTAACTATTTACAAACCATTTTTTTATTTCGGTTTGTAACAAGAGAAATCACGAAATTATATTTTTATTTTTGTTATTAATATTTTTGTTACTGCGAGTATTACTTAAAAAAATAGATTAAAAATGTACCTACGTGCTGTTGTTAATGTTTTTTTCGTGCTAATATTTTTTTTCTTATCCGCCGCCCCCTTTCATATGCCGCCCGGGGCCATGGCCCCCCCTGCCCCCCCCAAGCTACGCCACTGATACTAGTTACTAGCGCTTGTATTAAAATGTTTTGCATTAACTTTCTAATTCTACGAGTATTATTTTAGACGGGGTTTCTTTTATAATAAATAAAGATAAAGATAAACAAAACTTTATTCTGCATAACATAACATAAAATACCTACATTAGACATTAAAAAATAACTGGTAATAGTATGCTGAAACGATGCCCCGCTCAGTAAAAATCGCGGCATAACAACAGTAGTCATATTGCGAAACTTGTTTTTAGGTATTCGAGTTTAATATTTGCTATTCATCAGATCAAAGGAAACACGTTAAGTATACAGTGTTAAAACGAAACCAACATAAAATTGTAAACTCATAGTAAACAGAATTGGATCTTTCTAAATCATTGTTTGTCCTGACCATACTTTGTGGTGGACCATACTAATGGTAATGGTTTTCCTTTCATCATCAGATCATTCCTATGTCTCCACTGCAGACGGACTACCCCTTCTTATATACTATAGGCAAATTGATTTGTATTGGTTGGATTTCCTTTGTAATTTCGAAATCTAAACGTAAATCGTGGATAAAACTAGGAGACTGAATTTTCAGTATCCATGCAGGCATTGTAAAGTCACGGTATATTTCAAATTTCATTCAATTTGAACCAGTAGTTTAAGAATTATAACGGGTCAAAGTTTCTTAATTTTGTCACTCACTGACTGACTGACTGACTCACCGATCATCAAAATTCTAAGGCACTTCTAGCAGACCTAGAAGCTTCAAATTTGGAATATAAGTAGTGTTTGGTGTATGAATCAAGGAAAAACTAAAATATTTGGCTAACCGCTAAGTCTAGCAAAATTTTTCAATTTTTCGGTCCAGTTTTATAAATATTTAACTACTTACCTAAATAAGTTTGTAATATCATATAAAATTAAATATAAAGGCACACAATAGTGTCCCCGCCAAGTCGAGTAACATTTTTCAATTTCGGTCCAGTTTTCAGCTCAAGAAATAGAACCGGAAAAGAGAAAACGGAAGGCTACCTACAAAAATAAGAAAATTTCATAAGTCAGAGAGAGGACTTTAAGAAAATTCGTTGCTGGTTAGATATACATACAATAAGTAGAAGGTACCGAAAAGGAAAAAAGTAGAACTGTTTACAAAATACAAAAAGAAATAATTTACACTAAATAATTTAATTTACACGCGTTTTCATGCGATGGCCAAGTCAATATATTTATGTAAAACGTTAAAGATTTCCTGGACTGGACTTGGTATTACATGGATCTCACAACTTTTTACCGTAGAACAACTGAGTTGCGAGACTTGGTTTTTTTGACAAGTATTGTTTTTGATGGGATACATCTTACTACTTTCGTCTTGTGTGCACCTACCTCTAGGGTGCTCAAATCGGCGCCAAAGCTACTTTTCGCTGGAGTCCGCCAGGTGTGGGAAATTTACTCGACCTTTCATTTGATTATGTTTCCTTGGTACTTATTGTAAGAGATTCAAATCTACGCTGATTTAGGTACTGTATGTACCTATACCTTGTAGCATTCAAAGACGTTTGTAGAGATTTGTAAATTCAGAGAAATAGGTTGGTTAAACGTGAGTTTTCCGAACGGATTCAGGTTTAAGGAATTCAACGTTCTTTAATTTCTTCCTGATCAAAAGCACGTTTTATTGTGCTACATAATAAATATTTTTATCTCTGTTTTTATACAATGGATTTATTGTATTACCAAAGGCTTTTATTGTGATTGTCGTCGTCGTCGCTCGTTACGTGTGAAGCTTTCTCGATTGACTGAGGATCCAAGGTTCGTTAAATTTACGTTGTTGACGTTACTACTACTGTGATTGGACACCGTAATCTCGTTGACGAATTGACTATCGTCACGCCCACGCCCACGCTGGGACAACAGGCCGCAGTGATTACTCCCTGAATGCCGACGCCAGCTGGACCTCGCACGGGAGTCACTGGGGAGGGTTAGGCGGGTTATGCACTGGGAAAGTGGGAACGCCGAACGTGTTTTACGTTACGAACATCTTAAAAATTAGGAACAACAAAATCTATACTTAGCTTACAAAATCTTCAAGAGAAGATTTATTGATCGATCTAACTATTGAAATTTGAAATAAAGCCAATCAAAGGCTATCTACTCGTATGTGAGAAATCGTATCGTGTTCTAGCTTTGCCTAATTTACTGCACATATTTTGAAGGTACACTAGGATTTTAGTCAAACAATCCCCTTTGGCGGTATTTGAGGAGTCCCCCGGCAGCACTAGAGGCACACTATTATCTCGGCGCTAACGAGATTGCGGCGGCGCAGCGCTAGTTCGATCACACGAGACATTTCCAAGCGCCATATTGCGTTTCACTGATGTCATTGAAGGATTGTTGTGTCGAGGAGGATTGGTGTTCTAACAGACGTATAACATAGTTTATGTAGGCAGTGTTCCAGTAGGGATAGTTGTGATATACTTTAGAGGCAGTAGCTAACCATAAATTCAAATGTTTTATTCAATACTTAGGCTCTTTCCAGGGCGCTTATACAGTGTGAGTCACGTTAAAGTGTACATATGAAAATAGATGAAACTAGACCTGTTTTTATCGACAAAAAAGAGGTCAAAAAATTTTTGAGATTTTTTTTTATTTTTTTATAGAATTTTTTTTCTTGCAATTACTTATTGTAAAGAAAACGTAATAACTTTTAAACTAAGCGGTAGATCCTGATAAAATAAAAACAGTAATAATGCTAAATAACAGGCAATACTAAAAAAATACAAAAAATACACAAAAAAGGCCAACAAATAATAAAAAATTATACTTTTTGAAAAATATCTGCTTTTAAATTCGTATTTTTTTGGTTATTTGATAAATTTCTCCACAAAATGCCCCTATAACCGGTGGTTTTTATTACTTTTTATTGTTCTATATCGTATTATCTTTGTAAAACCAAAAATCGCATGTCTCTATCCCTATCACAACGTTTGCAATGATTGTTTGAACTAAGCCTCTCCGGGCGCGCCATTCAACGCTTCGTTAACAACGAAAATGAAAATGGCTCTAGATTTGTAATTTTGATAAAGACAAGTTAGATTTCAAATAAAAACAAAAGATTTCGAAGTAAAATAAGCATTTTAGTTAAAATTAAAATTGNGTTTTTGGTGGCATATTACTTAAAACTTACTGTTAAGTATCATAAAAATGAAACTTATAGTTTAAAAAGCTCACGTCGTAAAAGCCTCATCTCGTAAAAATGTAAAAATTACTTGAATCTTATTTTGTGTTTATTTATTACATAAGCACTAGAATACCTTGGAAAGTTATCGACGCATTACTCTGTTGATAACTTTTAGGTTACCTACATTATAATTTCGGTTTACGCTTGAAGTTTACAAAACTTACTGATTATCTGCTCACCTTGGAAAGCTTTCGGCCTACACCTATTCAACGCAATGTTAAATGCGCCATCGTGGAACCTCCAAAAACATCTAACCGTGTCTCTCCCCCGCAGTGCCTTGCCCAAGTCAAGAAAGAATCGGAGTCGAGCAAGCTGAAGCTGAAGCCGAAGCGGCGCCATCCGACACCGTCCAGAGACCGCTGGAATTCGTGCCTTATTGTCAACGATGAGGTAAGTCGAAATCTTAAGCCTTGTTCGCACTAGTGTAGTAATTAAGTAGAGTAACTCGTCTTTGGTAACTAAACTACTCGCTATTAACAAAAACCGTCTTTAATTATGGTCGAAAAATAGAACAAAATGGCCCGACTAAAGATTTAGTACTAGACAAAATGTTTGGTGTTCACACAATGTTTGGTGCTCGACTAAAGATTTAGTACTAGACAAAATATTTGGTGACACGCTTAGCGATATGTAGAAAGAAAGTAGGATAGTATAAAAGAGAAGATTAGTAACTTAATTAAGTTTTCAATCTACACTGAAGGTAGGATATTGTAGGTAGGTAAACTTTATTTGATTGAAATGCGAATATGCTAAGGGCTTGGAGAACAATGACTAGCAGGTACATACCTGCGTTACAAATACATAAATCCTGATCAAAACAAGTTGATAAACACATAAAAGTGCCGTAAAATATTCGCGCACGGAACGTGTCGCGGCACAGTCGGCGCGAATCACTTATCTGCGCGAGTTACAGTCGTAGGGCTTTATGTCGATAATATTCCTATTTTTATGGTCATAAACTTTACGACGAATATAAAAAGAGTTCAATTTTAATGGTTCAGTTTTCTACCACTTTTATTTTATTACTATTTTTTACAAAACGTAAACAGGAAAAATATATCACAGCATAGCCTAAGCGAAAGTAGGCTTCATATAGACACTGCTGTAATACTGTGCTGTTTTGGAATAATGATGACTATGTAAACCTAAACCAACTTGTTTGATTAAAATTTGAATTTATTTCGTATTAAACTAGATCCTAGTTTAAAAGATGCATGCTTTCAAACAATTAAAGATTTTAAGAAGCTTAAACATAAACACTTAATTTCCTGAATGAGTTTTAAAAAATCAGATAGCCGAACATTCATCTATTCAGGCCGTCTCAGCGGAAGCCGCTAAAGGCGCTTTAAAAGCGCCCCGTCTTGCAAATAGCTGAAAAGCTGCTAATTAAATATATTTCGCTCACCGCAGCCTTAAGTAATTTGTGGACCTCCACCCGCGGTAAGGCCCAGTGCACACACTGAACTTAATACTAGTTATTACTAGCGCTTGTATTAAAATGTTTTGCATTAACTTTCTAATTCTACGAGTATTATTTTAGACGGGGTTTCTTTTATAATAAATAAAGATAAAGATAAACAAAACTTTATTCTGCACAACATAACATAAAATACCTACATTAGACATTAAAAAATACATGGTAATAGTATGCTGAAACGATGCCCCGCTCAGTAAAAATCGCGGCATAACAACAGTAGTCATATTGCGAAACTTATTTTAGGTATTCGAGTTTAATATTTGCTATTCATCAGATCAAAGGAAACACGTTAAGTATACAGTATTGAAATGAAACCAACATAAAATTGTAAACTCATAGTAAACAGAATTGGATCTTTCTAAATCATTGTTTGTCCTGACCATACTTTGTGGTAATGGTAATGGTTTTCCTTTCATCATCAGATCATTCCTATGTCTCCACTGCAGACGGACTACCCCTTCTAATATACTATAGGCAAATTGATTTGTATTGGTTGGATTTCCTTTGTAATTTCGAAATACATCTTACTACTTTCGTCTTGTGTGCACCAACCTCTAGGGTGCTCAAATCGGCGCCAAAGCTACTTTTCGCTGGAGTACGCCAGGTGTGGGAAATTTACTCGACCTTTCATTTGATTATGTTTCCTTGCTACTTATTGTAAGAGATTCAAATCTACGCTGATTTAGATACTGTATGTAGCATTCAAAGACGTTTGTAGAGATTTGTAAATTCAGAGAAATAGGTTGGTTAAACGTGAGTTTTCCGAACGGATTCAGGTTTAAGGAATTCAACGTTCTTTAATTTCTTCCTGATCAAAAGCACGTTTTATTGTGCTACATAATAAATATTTTTATCTTTGTTTTTATACAATGGATTTATTGTATTACCAAAGGCTTTTATTGTGATTGTCGTCGTCGTCGCTCGTTACGTGTGAAGCTTTCTCGATTGACTGAGGATCCAAGGTTCGTTAAATTTACGTTGTTGACGTTACTACTACTGTAATTGGACACCGTAATCTCGTTGACGAATTGACTATCGTCACGCCCACGCCCACGCCCACGCTGGGACAACAGGCCGCAGTGATTACTCCCTGAATGCCGACGCTAGCTGGACCGCGCACGGGAGTCACTGAGGAGGGTTAGGCGGGCTATACACTGGGAAAGTGGGAACGCGGAACGTGTTAAAACATCTTAAAAATTAGGTACAAAGAAAAATCTATAGCATACAAAATCTTCAAGAGAAGATTTATTGATTGATCTAACTATTGAAATCAAGCCAATCAAAGGCTATCTATATGAGAGATCGTATCGTGTTCTATAGCTTTGCCTAATTACTGCACATATTTTGAAGGTACACTAGGATTTTAGTCAAACAATCCCCTTTGGCGGTATTTGAGGAGCCCCCCGGCAGCACTAGAGGCACACTATTATCTCGGCGCTAACGAGATTGCGGCGGCGCAGCGCTAGTTCGATCACACGAGACATTTCCAAGCGCCATATTGCGTTTCACTGATGTCATTGAAGGATTGTTGTGTCGAGGAGGATTGGTGTTCTAACAGACGTATAACATAGTTTATGTAGGCAGTGTTCCAGTAGGGATAGTTGTGATATACTTTAGAGGCAGTAGCTAACCATAAATTCAAATTCAAATGTTTTATTCAATACTTAGGCTCTTTCCAGGGCGCTTATATACACGCCCCAAATACAGCTTGCCCTAACACCACTTCGGGTCTACATATGGGCTGGTTATTAACATATTGGCATGTTCATATAAACGCAAAAAAATAAAAATGTTTTCCGACATGTACTAAAGCTCCGTTATAAAATAATTATAAGACTAAGTAAAATTCTTTGGAATAAACTACTTATACCCACCTACACAAATAGCCTTTCGTTGGATTTTGCTTAAATTACTAAAAACATTCAGTTCATTCACCAGTGAGGATTTGCTGAAAGCCAAGAATCAAGCAGGTGAATGAGACTCGCGGACTAAACAACAACGCACTACTTGGGTACTCAAGGACTGAAAGCACTATTGAGATAATGGACCGGATAAAAGGATAGGTATGCTAATATCATTAGTGGAATGGAAATCTTATTAGATATTCCTAAAGGATCTTGAAATCTTACAAAACACGAAAGGTACCTTATCTTAAAGTGAAATCTAGATACTGGAATTATGTTTTACCATAATGTTGTTAGCATAAGCTTGTAAAAGTATAATAAAGTAATTGCCAATGTTTTAAATACGAATGAGCGAGCGAGGTACCTCCGTATCTAATCTTATTTATCTGTGGTTAGAAACATAAGGTTTTTACAACATATATAGGTAGGAACGTAGATTCAGCTGATCTATTATAACAATTTTATGACCTGACTTTTGTACCTGTGATTTCACAATAAACACAATTTGAATTTGAATTTGAACGTTGTACCCATCCAGGAGGAATGCGTTTTCCCATCTAGCCTGATAACATTGAAACCATGTCTACTTTCTCCGCTGTCCTATAGTGAACACACGATTTGCTCGTTCTTCCTAGCGATAACACATTCAATATCGTCGTAACCTTTTTATTAGTTATTACGGAGCATAATCGCGCCGAATAAGGCCGTGTACAGTGTACAGGCATGAAGGTAGTGACGCGGCGCAGTTATCGCCGCAATCGTGTTTATCGCCTACGGCGCGATCCTTCCGCGGGCCGCCTGCCGGTGACATATGTTGGTTATGCTAACATGTTAGGCAAACCATTAACTATCATTACCAAAACAAATAATACCTATAGTCCAATATTCCTAGTCAATTCTCAGGTATGATAAAAAGCCTTAGTCATATCCAATCCAGTGGCGTACTTTGACCTTTAAATTTCATAAAATAAAACACTGAATACTTAACTTTCACATTCATTCACATTTTAAATACGATATAGGTATGTATCACAATCTACCCGCCCGCGTCCCTCTATCCTGACGTTTCTGTCACTACGTCAATGTCACTATGCTGCTCATTGGCTATAACGATACAGTACCTCTAGTACGAAAAACTTTCGAGTTCGTTTCGTTTGCGTATTCAAAGTGTCATCGAAAAATTTTGTATGAAAAATTAAACAGCGCCCCCTATATTATAGCCGCCCTAGGGGGCGCTGTTTAATTTTTCATACAAAATTTTTCGATGACACTTTGAATACGCAAACGAAACGAACTCGAAAGTTTTTCGTACTAGAGGTACCGTTATTTTAAAGTTTTCGATTTTTTATTTTAGATATCTAAAATAAAACAAAATACTTTTTAACGATAACGGACACACTTAGGACGAGCTGTTGTTGAAGATTTAATTCTAGTGCAAAAAAGGAACATTAAAAATCCATAAAATATACGTTAGTAAAAACAGCAATTTCATAAGTGAAGACCTAATAAATTAATCTAGGGCAAACAGTGCGGATTGTCATTAAAAGAGTCCAAATTAGCTAGCAATACGAATTACGACCTGTTCTAAGTTTAGCTGGTTTAGTCATTATCCCTGCTTGGTATGCTCATTGTCATGTCTATGCTTATCGCCTAAATATTTTTTCATAGTAGGTAGAATTTTATTTGTTTCTTATTGTTAGTAATGAAAGTAAAAGGTCTATAATACTGTGTAAAATGTTATCGTTTAAATGTTATACGAGTATGACTGTATGACAATGAAGTAAAATGTAACTTACGCTCATACGTCCCACGATTCCGAAACGTCAAGTGGCAAAAATTAAAAACTAAACCCACTATTGATACGTATTATTAGCGCCCTCTAGCAATGTCATATTTTAAGGTTGTCCAACGTGGCAAAAATCGGAACCAGCGATCCTGTATTGACGGTGGCGCCCCCTGTTAATGTTGCGGGTGGGACGGTTCCGTGTATTTCATCTATACAATCCAATTTTCCTAGTAGACAGGAGCGCAGGAGTTTGAATTTTGAATTTGGAACATCCCGCCGCGCCGAGATTAATTTAATGCGTCGCAACCGAACTTAACGTTTCCTTGTAGGCTGTATAATCAATGTGACTTTTGCCTACTTTTGCACATCACGAAATGTAAATTGACAATTCTACCCACTTATTTTATTAATATTAATTTTGTGCTGCTCCCATGGCTTGTGGGTTTAGAATGTATTCATTGTTCTAAAATCGTTAGTGACCGCCGGCTGTGCACCTCGGTTGCCGAGCTGTAATCAATTCAGACTTTTGTTTTTTGTTTTTGCAATCGATATTTGGATTTTCGTATTGTGTGGGTGCTTCAACTTGTGCTAGACTTGATGAGCCGCCCGAGGTGTCTGCCATGGCGGAATCGGACCGAACGTGTGAATTTTTGTTTCAAGTGCTGAAGTGCTGTGACTTTGGGAAGGGGATCTGAGCTGACGCTGCTGCACCTGTTGATGCTGTTTGCGGTTTCGGTAAGTTTTTTTTATTTGAGCGGAACATACAATACTACCTACTGTAACATGTCACCATTTCACCTATGATTCACAATATTTTTGTATTGTATTGTATTGATTTTGAGATTGTGTATTTTATTACCTACCATGTTTTCTCGATGACTATGATTTCCCGAATCAAATGCGCGATGTGTCTCGTAGGTATATTATACCGAACGTGTGAATTATTGTTTCAAGTGCTGATATGCTGTGACTGGGAAGGGATCTCAGCTGACGCTGCTGCACCTGCTGTTGCTGTTTGCGGTTTCGGTAAGTTTTTTTATTTAATTATTAGATTGTGTTTTTTTACTTACCTACCGTGTTTTCTCGATGATTATGATCTACTTATTTCGGCGAAATATGTTGGTATTCTTATTGTATTTCTTCGTAAAACAAGGACAGGTTAGCGATATGTGCTCGGTTACATCGGGCGGGGCCGGCTCACGTGCCATCTTAACCGTATCTATAAGCAAATATTTGCATAAAAATAAGCGTTTTCTACGTGCACATGGATAAAGTTGTGCAGTTGAAAGACACTTTCGTCGAAGGCAATAGGGTTGAGCGTTAAACATGTCGATATTACTTAGGTAGACCTACTAGAAATTGTTGTAAGTTAAGTATAGAAAAAACATTTAGTACATTTTACAGTCCTAAAGCTTATGCTGTATGAACTGTTTTAAATAAATACGTATTTTATAAAGCACCCATTCTAATACAATTATACAAAGATATTTCCATGCTTACCCGCGATCTCTGGCTTAAAGTCCGACACGTAAATCCTTAGGCGTGTCTGGCGGTGAATATTAAACTTCCAGATTTGCTAGATATCTTCTCGTTCGTTTATAATATATTAAGGTGATTGTAATTTTGTTTCTGCAATACATAATACGTACATAATGCCTTAGGCAGAAAACATACGTCTTGGACTACTTACTTATCAGACGGCGTGTTATTCCTTTATGATGGTTCTGCATATTTTACTTTGGGCCAGGCAAAGACCTGTCCTGTAAATGTAGGCGTTTGCAATATTTTTATTTAATAGCAAGATTCTTTGCCCAATTGACAATTTAACAAGAACAAATGACTTGTAATTTTCGTCTCAAATGTATTTATACACTGGGCTGGATTATAATATTTGTGTGGGCAATAATACACATTAATAAATTAGGAAACGGCGATTTATCACTAAGGAGATTTATTTAAAGGTAGGTTTTATTCGGCAGGACAATAAGTATTTGAATTTTTTTCGTACCTATTTGAGCGCTGTCGTACTGAAATATAAGTAAATTTTTAGTTGTTTCTTATTTTTGCCAAGAAGATTGCACGTTACTTAGGGAAGCAGTTCAGACCATGCAGTGGTAGTAGAACCCATTTGAGTCGAATCTACGTCCTCAAATGTAGTTTCATCTGAAAGGTACTACGTATTATTATTAGGTGTTCCAAGGCGAAGGGTTGTTACTTGTTAGTGCCCGCGATGAGTGTCGACGTTAGTGCGCAATCAAACGCGAATTAATGGCGCGATAGCAAACGACGCCGAGTTTACGCGCGGCGGAACGAGACGCGATACATGAGCCCCGGCGCATTGGTTTATTGATCAGCGTGTGTAATGTCTGAGTTACCCATCAAAAGGGTTATCGGTCTATCTTAAAATAAGAACTGAAATGGTAGCACTTTTAGAGCTTGCTTAAGCCATTTGATTTATAAGAATAAGAATTTTACTTAATAAAACTTAGCCTGGATATCTGGGGGCACGGCAGTGCCCCCGCCAAGTCGAGCGCGAAGCAAACACTGCCGTACCATCCTTTACTGGAACCATTTCGCCGCATTTTCAGGCCTCTATTTGAGAACCTCTGGATAAGACCAGAACACAGAAATTTTTGTCATCTAGTAAGCTATAATCACATACATAAAATCCAAAATTTTAAGTTTGTAGGTCATTTAGTTCCGAAGTTAAGCGAAAGCAAAGTTTCGCATTTACGACACTCACTCACTCACTCACTGATGATCATTAAAATAGAACTAGTACTTCCCATTAACTCAGAGAGCTGAAATTTGGTACAGAGTTAGGGTTTAATGACTACATAAAGGGAAAACTATAAAAACTAGGAAAATCGAAGATCTGGAGTAACACCACATTCATAATCAATACTACTAGCGCCACACCGGCACCGTGGTGTTCGCCTGTACCGCTCATCGCTAGATAGCGTGGCACTTGTTATTAAAAAAATTCTGATTCGTTGTCCATTTTAAAGGTCGTTGAGTTTATTTGTTAAAAAAGTAAGGTAGATGATATTAAAAGAAAAGACGCCGACGTTAAATAATTATGCCACTTTCTACAAAAAGAAGTGAAATCCCACCAAAAACATTCAGATTTCTTTATTATTATATTTAATGTTGTGTGACTTGGCCGTTGAACAATCTTTATTAAGATAATCATACATAAGTATTATTGAAATACGCAGCTTTATTAAGCCTACAATTGACTGGTTATTGAATCAACGTTTTCCAAGTGCAATTTATTTTCCATCGTCAATGGGTAGCAATTTTGGCGACAAATTGGTACAATGGTGTCATGGAGCATCTGGTTTGGTACCCTTCAACGGCCAAGTCACACAACATTAAATATAATAATAAAGAAATCGCAGTAAGGAACCATAGACTTGGCACGACTTTGTCTAGATTTCATTACTTTTTAGAGATAAACAGGCAGCTCCATCGAGACTTGGCTAATTTTTTACAGAATGTTTTTGGTGGGATTCTACTTACTCTAGTTTTCTTTCTTTGTAGGCTATTATGAAAACGGTTGCACTTCTTCTAGCAGACTAGATTACACATGAACCTATTATAATTTATGTGAAAAACAACGGGGTTATCGACATTGGTAGTCATCCCATGTGCTCATCTAGCGAAGCACCGCTGGGGCGGCAGACGGGCCGCGCGATTCAATTTGCATTGTAATCCTTGACTGTAATGACACGTCGTTGTCGCCATCGCCATCGGCCGTCGCCATGTGCTCGTCGGGTTCGACCTCATTTGTTAATTAGAACACCGTCTAATATAGTTATTGAACGAGCTAGTGCCTATATTTATTAGATTGGATCATTTTGAAACGGTAAATATCGTTTATATTCCTGTCCCAAGCTTCCATGTATGTTATGTTAGTATGTAATTTTATAAATATTAATATCGACATTATTTTTGGAAGTTATTTANGTTATTTCATTTTCGCCTCAATTTATATTCTTCATCATACTTTCTACCAAACTTTCAATCGTGTTTGTTGTTAGCAACTTAGCGAGCTCTTCAACGGAGCCCTTCATCCTACGAGTCTACCCTGTTTACCGATGGATGTCGATCTGTCGTTTCCAGTCATCTCTCTGACTCGAGAGTCCCAAGTGTGAGTTAAGCCGTAAAATAGAGCTTCACTTTTTTCCCTGCAATGTAATATTGAACCAACCGACATGTCTCATCATAACCATATTTTCAGACTGTCGGTTTGTACTCTTTTTTTTTTCGTCAAACTGGGAATCCTGGTACAATAATTTCACTTTATAAACATGTTGTCTAAATTGAAAAATTTTAAAGTGATACAATACTCTTTAATCACAGAGGCACTCACATGATATAGATCTGAAAATAGGGTAGAGAGTAAGATGGATTTCGATAACGAAAAAAAAATTGCCGTCGTAAGGTTGTAGGCCGCAGTCACGACGCTCTTCCGCGTCGCTGGTGATAGGCGATTGGCAATTTATCTCTCGTCCAAACTTTTAACAAGCTTGATAACAAATTGAGTTTTTCGGGAATCTAGTTTTATTAAATCGTCCCGACAAATTGTTCGATACGACGAGACGATGAGTTATTAGATTTTTGTTTCAATTTTGTAGGACTGTTCCACGTAATTTTGGTCTATAACATTTAATTTTATTTTAAAAGAATCAAGATTGTCATCACATTGTAGGTCAGAAATGAGGAGATCCGCAGGAAAAAACCAAAGTAACCGATAAAGCTCGCAAAATTGCCAAACATAAATAAGCAAGTGGCAGTGGATAAGTCGTGGAGCTTATGGCCGTTGAGGCAGAAAAGTTCTCGAGTGGCGAGTAGGTACGGGTCGGTAGACGTAGTGTGGGCAGGCTTCTCACTAGGTGGACCGACGATCTGGTGAATATCCGGGAAGTGTCGGTCGTTGTGGAAATCCTTGAGGGAAGCCTTTGTCCAGCAATGGACGTTAATTGGATCTTGAGACATTCACTATTTGCGCATCGTATTTCTGCATCAAAAATAATACTAAACTTGCATTAATGTTTAGGTATTTTTGAACGAGTCGGTTTAAGAAAAAAAAAGACGTAGGTAAGTACTTAATTCAATATTTTAGGTACATTATTCTTGTCGTTCTTTGACGATTCAAACTAACCGATGAAGTGCACTCAATCGAATAATCGTTTCGAATTTTAAATTAGCCTCTGATCGAATATTTATTTAACGAACTGACGGAACCCATCTATGGTATTTTTCTACGAGCAAAGCTAAGTCAATTAAGAAATACAGGGTGTCCCAAAAACAATGGATAATCCTATAACCATCGATAGGCCTCGCCATGGTCTCCCTAACGTCCAATTTTNGATACGACGCACGAGACGATGAGTTTTTAGATTTTTGTTTCAATTTTGTAGGACTGTTCCACATAATTTTCTATAACATTTAATTTTATTTTAAAAGAATCAAGATTGTCATCACATTGTAGGTCAGAAATGAGGAGATCCGCAGGAAAAAAACCAAAGTACCTAACCGATATAGCTCGCAGCCAAACATAAATAAGCAAGTTGCAGTGGATAGGTCGTTGAGCTTATGGCCGTTGAGGCAGAAAAAATCTCGAGTGGCGAGTACAGTGCACCTACCATGAGTTTACGTTAGGTGTGCTCGCTAGCGAGTACGTCAAAAATCTCTATGAAGATTTTGTTTCTTGAAAGTAGCCGCTAGGGGCGCTGCACAATATGTCATACACTTAATGTCATTTTTTTACGCAGTCGCTAGCGAGCACACCTAACGTAAACTCATGGTAAGCACACTGGTCGGTAGACGTAGTGTGGGCAGGCTTCTCACTAGGTGGACCGACGATATGGTGAATGTCCGGGAAGTGTCGGTCGTTGTGGAAATCCTTGGGGAAGCCTTTGTCCAGCTATGGACGTTAATTGGATCTTGAGACATTCACTATTTGTGCATCGTATTTGCATATTTGCATCAAACTTGCATTAATGTTTAGGTAAAATGGC